GCCTTTGCTGCAGATTTTGTACTTTGACTGGTGAGCCATCCTTTGTGACTAAAATACCCTTAACTTTGAACCCTATTTTCGGCCCATACCCACCTTCCTCTTTTCCACATGAACTAGCTTAAAGCCGATCAGTGCCCACTAGCAATCAAAGCCCGTTGTTTTTATTTTTGAAGCCTACCAAACATGGTCTCTGTCCAAGCCTATGCCCCCAACAATCGTACACGTCGTCACCATTGTGCCAACTGCCAAAGGGCAAAGAGTATGGAATTGGCGTTAAAAGAAGAAAAAGACGAGCGATTTGTTTTTCTTTAACAAGACAACTTTATGGGCTTATTTGGAAAAAAAAACTTATAAACACGTTTTAAATAAATTAAGACAAAACTTATTTTACTTGCTTATCTCATATTTTAAAAATTATAATTAAAAAGTTACTTACAGGTTATTCCAAACAGGTTTTATATCATTTTCAATTAATAGAGTGTTTGGGTGGAAACTAAAAGGGTGTTTAGATGTAAACCAAACCATAATTTAACAATCTTATAGTATACAAAGTAAGTATGTAGGAGAAGTTTTGTCTTGACTTATTTAAAAGTACTTTTTAAAAGTGTTTTTAGATTATACCAAATACTTTTCAAATCATAATTTTAAAAATGATTTTACAGCATACAAAATAAGTGAGTAAGAAGAGTTTTTTAAACTGACTAAGGGGATGTTTGGCAACCGCAAAAAGTGTTTCTCAGAAGCACTTTTCTACAAAATGAGGTAAACTCCTCCATATATTTACTTTGTAAACCGTAAAAACACTTATAAAACCATGATTTGGTTGCCATCCAAACACCCCTTAAATACCTTCTAAGATGATTTTATCTTTTGATATCTTAAAACTTCTATACTATAATTAAAATATCCATACCAAGTGTACTTTCGAACGTTTATTCTATTCTATTACTGCATAGTAATTGTTTTCTCTCGTTTTCTTCTCACCCACTCATCATTATCAACATTAAAATAAGAGAGTTGATTATACAACTAGGAACTTACTTTTGCTTATTTGTTTAGAGATGCTAATAATTATGCTTATTGGAATCATCATACTTAGTTATAATAAATAGTCATTCTATATGCAACATGGGGTTGATAAATTCTTTAAACTCTTTAATTAAAGTTTTAACAAAATGTCAATAATCTTGTACTACCTCTAGCGTTTAATATAAGATTTTGTTTGATTTTTATTTTGATCCTAAATATAAGATTTCAATCTACTTTGTTTTTCATATTTATATTTTTTTAAAGTTGTCCTTCTAATAATAGTAGCTTTAGCTATTACACTTGATTAGCAAGGATATTTTAGGAAGGACAACAACTTAATTTGTTTTCTTAATTTATTCAAATTAGTCAACTAATTCTTATATTTAGGACTACAGGTAGTAATTTAGTAGTATAAATTATTCGCAATAAGCGAATAGTTGTAGGTTCCGTTTCATTTGTAATCTTAAGTTATTAGCACCTACCCCTAATTTAAAACAAATTCCAAGAAAATTGTCTTGCTAAAGGCCAACTAAAGTCTGTCATTATAGGCCTTTTCTTAATCAGGCTTCAAATTTTCGTAGCACATAATTCTTTTTTGGCTCTGCATTACAAGTCAGCGACCGAGGAGAGAGTGATATCAAATTATTCATAATTAAGCTTTTTTTAATTATTATTTTTGCTTTTCCCCTCTCCCCCCCCCAAAAAAAAATCGTAAATAAATTCTATTTTATGGACTTATGAAGGGCAGACATGCCTTAACGTCTCAAAAGCTTCCACATGGATTAGATGCTTAGGCACCGCCCTTTAATAAGATATTAAGATAAGTATTGAGATCCGAGCTCATGATTTGGTAGGGTATGAATCACGTCTCTACTAATTGGACTATTCTTTATGGAGATAGGCTCTTTTCAATTTACCCAGCATAGTCTTAGTTTTTTTCCCGATGTATAATATTTTCTCATTAAAAGTAATCTTATTTGAAACACGAGCATTGGATATAGACACATCTCTCAACAAAAATTTAAATTTTAGTTCATTATATTGTGAAAGATTAATTTCTTCAGCTAGACTTGATGTCGTCTTAGATATTTATTAGACTTGTAAAGTGTAGTTGTTCTAAATTACCATATGAATTATTCTCCTATGACTATCAACGTGTTTTGTAACATATTCCTTTCAAATTGTGTGGTTTAATAAATCTGTTAACATAATTATTATTACTTTTGGTCCTTAAGATCTTGTTTGTAATTTACAAACAAGGTCTTATAATTAAAGACGGAGGTAATATTTATGTAAAAGATGTACTTTTTTTTTCAAACATGTCCAAGTATAAAAAGGTGAAGCAAGGATGAGGAATAATGAGAAAAAAGACGAAAGGAGATGTATTAGAAAAATATAATGCAAGTAATTAAAACTAAAATTGGTTAAAATACATTTAATCTTCAAACAACCACGGATCATATCTTGTAAAACGGATCGGACTAAAGGGTCTGTTTGGGTAACATTAAAAACCATGGTTTTGGGACCCAAACCATAATTTGAGTCCTAGATTTGCCAAACAGGGGGGAAAAATTAACAAACTATGATTTTGGGCCAAAACATGATTTTGGATTCAAAACCATGGTTTCAGAAAAAAAGTGAATTTATTTTGCTTTTGGCTTAAATTGGAGAGTGTGATTGTGCATGTCAGAATATATCTCAATGATAATATGACTTTAACACCTCTTAATTATTTTTTATAAACATATTTAATCTTATATTTTATAAATATATATACACATATTAATTATTTATTAATTACATTATCTTATATATTATTAATTATGTTAGTAAAAAATATATTATTAATAATTTTATTTCTTCAAATTAAAATATATTATAAAATCTATCTTTTATGTAATTATTATATTAACTTATGCCTTTTTTAGTAATTTGTACATATAAAAAGTGCTTCTAATAACAACTATCCAAACACTTTCATTTTGTCAAAATTACGTTTTCACAAAATCCATTTTTCATAAAATCTATTCTCCAAAAAATCTATTTTTAGACCATGGTTTGGTTTTATCCAAATACCCCCATTCAAAAATTTGACTCTTGCAAAAACTAAAAAAGAGAGGAGGGAGTAGTTTTTTTTCAATATATTAATTTTTTTCACCTAATACTATCTCCAGTGCTAATTATAAGAGCTAGTCAATTAATTTGAAGAGATTAAGGAAAGAAGTTAAGTTAGTTATTTGTAATAAACAAGTGTTGTCTTTCCTAAAATATCCTTACTAATCAAGTGTATAGGCTAGAACTAACATTATTAGAAGGACTACTTTGAGAAAAAATGCATAAATATAAGAGACAAAATGGATTGGGGTCTTGTGTTTAAGATCAAAATAAAAATCAAACAAGATCTTGTATTAAGGATCGAAGACAATATCTCTTTCTAATTAACCAAACTCTTCTCACTAATTAATTTTTTTGCCAGCTTTTAGCTAATTAGTTTTATTGAGAGTAATTTGCCTCACTTATAAATTGTAATATGATCTATTGATTTACTTAAGTATTTTAAAGAGATTATATAACATATGCTATAATTAAATAATTTAGTAATTTTTTTAATATATTCAAATTAGTTATCTGAGTTTTAAATTAAGGACAAGAGCTAGTATATTCATATTATCCAAATTATTTTTATAGTTTTTTACCTTTTTTATTTCACGTATTTAATAGTTTCATTAGAATATAATTATTTTACCTAAAATGACACACATTCTTATATAATAATAAATAACTAATTTGATGGCAAAAATTAATTTTATCAGTTTTATCAATCTTTGGTAAAAAAAAAAGGGTTTTATCAATCTTGAATTTGTTGATAAATTAATTAATTAGATCTTATTTATGGAAAAATTTTAAAACCTAAAATCAGTATGATGGTAAAAATATTTAGTTATTTGCTTTTTAAATGTTATCAATTATTATTAAAATATAGTAAATAAGATTGATTTAAAATTTTAAAATTAAAAGTTTTTTTTTTTTGGTTTGGAGATTCCCCCTTTTCTTATATTAATTTGTACTTTTCTGTGTTTAGGCGAGGGAAAACATCACTAAAAAAGAATCTTTCGGTAAAAACTAAAAACGACAGGCGTTCTAGGGGTGCCCCCCCCCGGGAACCCGCCAATACCGATGACCTCCAAAGAGTACTTCAAATAACACTTTCTTCTCGATTTTTTGGGAAAATTTCGCAGACATTGTTGACCCTCATGTTCTCATTAACTCTTTTAGCATTTCAAGTGATCAACTTTCGCGGTTTGATGAAGACGAACTGTTCGGCCCCTTTTGATTTCGCTACTTAAGCTTGATGGGTTAAAAAAATCAAATCAGAATAAGAAGAGAAGAGCTTACCTAGTTACTTTCGACTCTGAAGACAGCTCCATGCATTGTCTTTCGCCGTTTATGGTCGATGATGTGATGTCGGAAGTTTCCATTCCAATGTGTGACTTTTAAGGTAAAGTTATTGTCTTTGATGTATTTCTTAATCAATTATCGTTTTCTTTTTTTAATTTTGGTGTAACAAAAGGGAAAGTCATGCATGCTGGTAACCAACATGACCCTCTTATGAGTGCTTCAAGTGGGAGACATATTGTAATTGACCTAACATGACAAACACAATTAGTATATTGGACCCCATTGAAAAGTATGCTTTCTTTCTTTCTTTCATATTTTCCCCCAGCACGCTTAAGCTCTTTCCCTTTTCTTTTTCACTCTTCTTTCACCATGACGTGTCATCATCAGTCCACACTCCAGAATCATTTCTTCCACCTCATTGTTCTTTATGGAGCAACGAGCCCTTTTGCCGTCTCAATTTTTTCCCTTCGGTGGGAGGTTATGAAAAAGGTTCTTGCCCTTGTCTTTAAGCTTCAGTTTTTTCTTCTTTTCATTCACTTTTTGATGTTTGATGCCTCCTCTACAACCACAAACTATCCTTTTGAAAGGAACAGCTAGTCAACAGGAGCAACACAAGAAACCTCATTGCCCCTTTTAACTAATTCCTTGATCTGGTGCGCACCCAGACTTTTCTTATCTGTTGAGTGCCTTAAAGTCTCAAATCTTCTTTGATACCACAATGCCATAGAAGAATAGAGCTTATGACTCATGATTTGGTATCTTTCCTTCAATATGTAGAAACCAAGGTTCTTCTTTTGATGTTGCAGCCTTGGAATACCCAAAAAAGCCGTTTAATTTGACACATTGTTTGATAGTTTGTTGTGGGCTAGGTTCATTTCTTTATCTCATGGACTCCATCTTTTCTCTGATTTTGATAGTAGTTACCTTGGGGTCATCAACATTGCTGGGATCTAAAGCTCAGAGTATCAAATCAGCTCATCTTCTTGATCTCTACATCAGAGATTACACGTTCAAGTCATTGGACAAACACTTCAGAACAGGCGTAATACAATCGGTGAATTTACCTGCAAACCTATCTGGCATCAGAGTTGATACAGTAAGGTTACGGTGTGGCAGTTTGCGGAGATATGGTGCTCACTTAAAGGAATTCCATCTGGGTTCAGGTGTGGTTGTGCATCCATGTATTGAGAGGGTCCTGCTGATAAGGCAGAATTTGGGGTATAACTGGTCTGCTATTTATTATGCTAACTATGATCTCTCTGGATATGAGCTTGTTTCGCCAGTTGTGGGTCTCCTAGCTTACAATGCTGACGAAGATGTAAATTCCATGAACCCTTTTCAACTCGGAATTGTTGCTGGAGAAAAGCCCCTGACAATTGATTTTACCAACATTACTAGGTTTACAAATGCAGATGGAATTATACCCTTCTGCGCGAGTTTTGAAGGAGATGGAAGGATGACATTGGCAAAACCATCATCACCACATGTTTGTGTTGCAAAGAGGCATGGCCATTTTGGTTTGGTTATTGCATCCCCTCCGGAGCAGTTCAAAAAGCGAATTAGTCAGTGGAAAGTGGCGGTTGGGAGTACCATTGGTGCTGCACTGGGTGCTTTTCTTCTCGGTTTGCTTCTGGTGGCCATGCTTGTTAGAGTAAAGAAGAGATCGAGAATGGAAGCTTTGGAGAGGAGGGCATATGAAGAGGAAGCCCTTCAGGTTTCAATGGTTGGCCATGTTAGGGCTCCCACAGCATCTGGCACTCGAACGACGCCAATAATTGAGCATGAGTATATACCTCCTCCCCGTTGAAGTGTTTCATCTTGTTGATCAATCAATTTTGTAACATTACGATGACATTCAATCAAGTTGTTAACAGGCCAGGACTAAATTTGTATTAGTTTCTACGAAAGTTTGCGTAGATTTTGTTCTTCTAAGCAAAGGGTTTCAGTCCTGAACCCTCCTGACTCATTATTCTTTCTATTCTCTTGAACTCAGATGCTTAAACTTTTTGGAGGATTAAATTTTTGAAATCCCAATATTTCCTAACCTTCCTGTCATTACAATTTGCAGGGAACATGTGAGATGTAAGGTTGCCTATTAGAATGGTTGGCATTATTGGAGAAGACATGGATTAACATGTATTTGATTGATATGCATATGTCGTATTTCTGAAACATGTAGGCTGCAAGTTTCTCCTTCCTTTGTGTTTTCACGCAATTATGAAATATAAATTAAGGTTCCTGAAGCTGCTGACATGCACGATGATGATGTTTATCAAAAGGTCAGAGGAAGCTGCCCTGTAAAGCTTCCTATGTCTGGACATCATGATGATTTCTAACACAGCAGTTCTATATAGAGTTTGACCATTGAGTGAAAAATGGAAGGAGCCATATATGTTATTGTTGGTGGTCAGAATATATATTTTACTATAATGTTGACTGTCTCTTTAGTAGGAACCAGACAGATGAAGTTAGAACTATGGTTCCCTTGTGTTGCCATAGGAAGCCAGCTTTTGAGGTAAGGGTTAGTTGGTTACAAATTCACTGGCCATTATATGTTACAAGAAATGCATTAGCAGTTAATAACGGAAAGGAAGTTACAAATAAAGTACTGCTTTGAGTTACTTCTTTTCCCCTCGAGAACAAAAAACCACCGCCGATATCTCGAACAGAAATGAAAATAGTGAACTCAAATGTATCTGAGCTGGACTACTGCAAGAAAACTCAGCAGTCCATGCTTGTTTTTATCTGCTATTTCTACTCAATGATGCTGTGCAGGGGTGCCAAGCAAAGCTTCTTCAGCTGGTTCTACAGTCAACTTCTAAGGTAAATTGTTGTCTTTGGTGTCCTTCTCGTCAAATGTCGTAATTCTGGATTTTGGCTAGATCATGATGTTACTAGGCTTTCGGATGCTTGATGCTATGTGATTTTAATCTGAGTGAATTTGTCTCTGGAAAACTCAGTTCTTCCTCTTGGGTGAGTTTGTGATGCTTTACGTGGCTTTTGGATACTTCTGCTTTGTTATTTATAGTCTGTGACTTTCTGCAGAATGTGTAGGGAACTGATTTCTTTACTCTTCCTTTATGCCATTGATCATCATCAATTACTTCACTACTCCTTTTTTTCCCAAGAAAAAAAAAATCCAAATTGGCAGTGGGCAAATGGTTTTCTTTCTTTGTTATACATGCTCCCATACAAGGATGTCAGAACTTTAAAAAAAAAAAAAAGAGGTCTAGACCGTCAAAACTGAATCTAGATTGTCCAATGGCAGAGGAGTGGGAAAGAATAGAGAAGCTAGTTTGTAGCAATTGATGTGTTAAATTGTGTAAATTGTCTCTTTCACTTGTCACCCTTCTTTAAGGTTGTAACTTTGAAGGGTTGTTGTATAAAATAAACTGTACTGATTGTTATAAAGCATTCTGCTAAAACATGTTCCCTCCTTAATTTTCTCTGGTCTATGCTTCTGAAGTTTGCTGCAGCTGAACAGAAAATTTGAACGGTTTAAATTGAACTCTAGACTTTTCAAATTTAAGAGGTACAGGACACAAGAAGGGATTAACCCCCAAGCAATCATTGTTATCCATCTTGTAGCATGTAACCAAAGAATTGCGTTAATAATCAATTTCTGTCCTTAATTTATATTAAATTAAAGGAAAATAATATACTACTTTGGTTTTTAATATAATATCTAGTTTGCAGTTTAATTTGAACTACAAATTAAATCTGGTTAAAATACCTAAAATTTTCTTGAATTTTGGGTCAGTTGTGCATAACTTTTCGTATCTTTAAAAGTTTAAATGACGAACTTTAATATTTTCTGTTTTGATTATCAACCCCAACAGTTAAAATTACTGTTAAAGTTAATGATTTTTGCCATGTATTAACTTTTGTCATGTCAACCTTTTTATATTTTTTTTTATTATGTGCTATATGATTTTAAAAAAACAACACTTGCAATTGAACATGTAATTTTATTTTTTTAAATACTTAAAATGAAATACTTCATTACTTTATAAAATATAAAATATTTAATTACAAAAAAATTATTTAAAACATTTATTTGATTTAATCCTTTTTAAATAAAAGAGTGTAAATTACTTAAAATTACTGGTCAAATGACAAGTGTTACTTTTAAATGACATGATCAAAACTGTTAAGGCAGGAAGATTGATAATCAAAACATTAAACATTAGAGTCTTCAATTTAAACTTTTAAAGATAAGGGGTAATATGTAACTGACCTAAAATTAAGGAGGTTTTGTATATTTTAGCATTTATTTAAGGTTAATCGAAGTTTGGAGCATCGAAAATCAACTTCCAGCATCAATTCTAAATGATTGCTATAAAATTAATGCGCAAAATTTTGTAGTTCATAATTTAGTCTTTTAATTTTAAAAAGTAGATTTTTAGTTTTTTAATTCTAAAACTGTTAATAAAAAATGATGTTATTGTGATATTAAATGTTGATAAAATATTTTTAAATACTAAGATATTAAGTTTAATTTTTAAAATAACTATGATTGCCACAAAAAATTATCATTTAAAAATAACGATTTTAAGATTAAAAAACTAAAAATATGTTTTTTTACAGGTAAAAAACCAAATTAAAACTTTGTCTAAAGACAAAAAGTTAAATGTATACTTTAGCCCTAATTCATTCATTTCATGGCCCTCAAAATTATCATTTAATACACAACTTTTCAAAGTGCTTTGCAATGTATCTTACTTTGAATAAATTTGTTAATAAATAAATTAAAATTCTGAATAAATAACGGTCAACCGTTGGTAAATAATATTGATATAGTAAGCGCTTCTAAATCTTAAAATATTTCAAAATGAGAAGTGATAATATTTTTACACAGAACTTATGAAGCTATGTCTGTTAGAAACCAATAAAATGAAAAACTACACTCTCATAAAGTCTTTCATTTTCTTCCTTCACAAGTCCCACTTTATCAGGTTTTTAAAACAAGCTCATTAAAATTTTGATCTCTCATCCATTTTTCTCATACAAAAAAAAAAGTATTGAAGATCACAATATTATCAATTTTTTAACAGTTAATCTTTTAAGAGAATTGGCATCAAATTGTAAGTTTTTTTAGTTATGTAAACTTATTTATTTATTGATTTTTGTAAAGTTTAAATATATAAATTGGATAAAATAATGTTTGAAACATGTATTAAAAAACTTCATGAGATAGGGATGTAACGGGATAGGGGATAAATCAGTCAATAATTCAATATAGTATACGTGTATTTTTCTTTAAATTTTATTATATTAAATACTACTATAGTTAATTATTTATAATTATAATTGAAAAAAACTAGAGAGACAGTACACGGTTATATTATAAGGAAAAATAATAATTTAAAATTTTTTAACATAATTATGAATAATAAAATTAAGTATTCTAAAATTTTTAATAGAACTTTTAATAAATAATAATTAAGAATTTTTATAATGATAATAAAAATTAAATAAAAATGAAGATTTAAAAATGGTTAGTTTCTCTTCATTTTAGTTTTCACCTCTCAAGTTTCAAACCATAATTTTTGATCCTTCAAGAGATAAAATGATTCATATTTTTATTGAATTATACTATTATAGGGATCAATATTTAATAAAAAAATTTGGAAAACCAAAATCTAGGATTTAAAACTTGAAAGACCAAAATAAAAAAGGTTAAAATGTATCTGGTACTTGCAATATTTTTTTCAGGCACATTCAATACCTTGAAGTATTTTGTGGTATATCTTGCACCTTAAAGTATTTATTAGAGACATTCACTACTCTGAAATATTTTTTTTTACATCTTGTTGCTAGATGCATCAAAAAATCTTTTTGGTGTCAGACACGCCTAAAATTTTTTTTAGGATGTTAGATGTAACATTCTGAGTTTTATCAGGTTTTAATAGCCTCTTTTGAGTTGATTTTGATGATAGATTAGCAATTTAATCTTGATCTGGGTGTTTGGGTTGAATTTGAGGTATGTTGGAGGAATAGGTGAACGTACCCCTCTCAGGGTATGTTCGCCGCGGCGCATCGGGAGTTTCAGAGGGGAGTGTCTTCTCGGGAAGGTTTGGCCGCGGCGAAGTCTAGGGGACGCCGTGGCGAAGTTGTTCAGGTGAGCGCGGCTTCCCTTTCGGGAAGGTTTCGCCGCGGCGAAGGTAGGGGTATGCCACGGCGAATGTTTTCTGGGCGAGCGAGAGTTTCCTCTCGGGAAGCTTTCGCCGCGGCGAAGATTGGGGTTCGCCGTGGCGAAGTCAGGTTTTCAGGCGAGTAATCCCTCTCGGGATTAGTTTGCCGCGGCGAAGATGGAGTTCGCCGTGGCGAAAGGTCGCGAATCTATATATTCGCGGGAGCAGTTCAGCGTGCGAAAAATAAGAAAATCTGAGGTAGAGAGAGAGGCTCTGCTAGGGTTTCGGTATTTTGGCTTGGAGGGGGCATTTCTAAGGATCCATTACCTCAAGTAAGTGATTTTAACCTCTAATCTATCTTCTTGATTGGAATTTATAAGGATTTATGGTGAAATCCTAGGATTTTCTAGGTTGTGTTAGAACTGAGGTTTTTGACCGATTGTTTTGAGTTTAATTAATTGCATTGGGTTAGTTTAAGTATTTAATCGGGGTAGTTTCCTTGGATTTAAAAAATCTTGAGTTTTTGGAGCTAGGGTTTATGGAGATGGATGATTTGGGATTGAGGATCATAATGTAGAGATTGATTTTGAGTTTTGTGAATTGGGTTATGTTAAGGAGGGTTAAATTGGATGTTTAATCGGTTTAGAATTGTTGTTGGAACCTTAATTGCTCAAATGGAATGTTTGGGTGTAGAATTCCATAGTGGGTCCTTGAGGTTGTGAATTTTAATTGATGTTTGGAAAGGAATTGAGGTTTTAATGGATTGGTATGATTTTGGAGTGTTGCCTTGATAGATATACCCTTTGAGTTGGGTAAAGTTTTGATGGGAGATAGGAATTTTGTGTCCCTAAGTGTTGTTTTTTGCCACATTATTAGTCTGAAAGCTAATATATGATGGTTGTGTGTTTGTGTAGACCGGTTGTGCGTCTCGGTGGTGCACGGGGCCACATTGTTGGTTTGTTATTCCTTGCTCAGACGAGAGGTAACCACTTTCCAATCCTTAATACTTGCTTCTGTGGTATTGTGAGTAGATTTATGCTTTGTGCTCTAAGTAGTAATTATGTTCAAACCGTATGTTGTGTATAAAACGGAAAACCGTCTTGTGGGGTTTTGACTAATGATGAATGAATTTTGGAATTGTGAAAGATATGCCACTGAATGAGGTTAATTGTGAAATGATTATTACTCTTTGATTATGATTTGAGCATGATGCATTGATTGGGAATTTGGTGAGAGTTTGTCTGTTACTACCACGTGGTAAGGCCTCCATTAATGCATGATGGTTGGCTTAGTACGTCCCCCATAGTGAGGGATAGGCCTTTTGGCTCCCTACGTCCCCCAGAGTGAGGGATAGGCCTTTTATGGCTCCTTACGTCCCCCATAGTGAGGGATAGGCCGGCTTCGGCTCCTGAAAATCCCCCAAAGTGAGGGATTTGGTTGATGGGATTGCATCATTGCACTTACATGAATTGTTGTGGCTATCGTTATATCTTATTTGTGAACTGCCCCACTTGACACCTCACGAGCACCTATTTAGTAGTACCTAGTATTGGAAAGGTCGGTTACTGGGACTTTGTCTCACCCCGTGGTTTACAATGTTTTCAGGTAAAGGTTCCGGGCGTGCGCCTTCGGGAAGAGACGCAGAGGCTTGAGCTTGGTTAGCTTTAGGCCTCTAGCATTTGTATATGTATGACTAGTATATATTGCCACATTTAGGACTGCTTTTTGATATATTTGATTACCCGGCCTTGTTGTAAACTGGAGAGAATGTATCTCCTTATTTTGGTTGGCCGGAGGCCATTGCTAGTGTTTGATGAACTCTGGATTATATGGTTGAAAACTATTTAGATGGGCTGATTTTGATGTATGTGTTACCCGGGCCGGAGGCTCGGAGGCCCAGTGGATATGAATGGATTATTTCAGTTGCATGCAACGTCTTACGGGTTGACCCGAGTTTGAAAGTCAATTTCTAAAAATATGAAATTTTCCTTCTACTATGGTAGCTCATTGTAACAGCTTTCCTTTTCTACCATAGTAGTGGTTTTATGACGGGTTATAATGTTTTAAAGGTTAAGGGTCTTACATTAGATACATAAAAAAATACTTCAGGATTTTAGACGGATTTAAACAAAAGATATTTGAGGATGCTGTGTCTATCATAAAATACTTAAAAATGTTTGGTGTTTTTGAAAAGATATTTCAGATTACTAGATGCACCTTAACCCAAATCAAAATAAGGATATGAGCAACTAAAAACTACATTAATCCATTTAAAAAAACATAAAAACATTGTTGTAAATTTAACAAAACCAATGAGAGGCAATAAAAATTTGAACAAGCGGTGGTTCCTCAGACTGGGAAGCTTTCCATATGCCCTTTCTACTAAAAAAAAAAATAAATAAATAAAAAGAAAGCTTTCCAATTTCCATATCCCTCTCCCTCCGATGGGCCTCCACGCCGCCGAGCGCGAGTCTTTGTCAGAGGATCTTGAAAGCTAAAGATGGGGTTTTGTATAGCTTCAAGGTATGCCTTCTCCAGATTTCCTTTCTTGCCTGCATCGTCTCCATCTTTATTCTTTCCCCCTCCTACCTTTAACCTAACTCTACGCTTCTGTTTCCATGCCCATTCCACAAATCCTCAGAATATCGAAGAGGCTCTCTCTTCTTTTTATCGCTTGGTTCATGTGCGGCCCCCACCCTCCATAATCCAAATTAATAAGATCCTGGGATCTATTGCAAAGTTGAAACACTATCAAACTACTATTTCCCTTTTCGCACGAGCGGAATCTAAGGGATTCACGCCAGATTTGGTTACACTGAGTATTTTGATCAATTGTTACTGCCATGTGGGACAAATGACTTTTGCATTCTCTGCCTTAGGCAAGATTCTTAAGATGGGCTGTCAGCCAAATACAATTACCCTGACTACTCTAATGAAGGGCCTTTGCCTCAATAATGACGTTGGAGAGGCTTTAGACTTTCATGATGATATGATAGCAAAAGGGTTTCAGTTAGATGCAGTCAGCTATGGCACACTGATTAATGGACTATGTAAGACTGGGAAAACAAGAGCTGCGGTTGAATTACTCCAAAAGATGGCAAGAGGGGTGGTTAAACCTAATTTAGTTATGTATAGTACAGTTATAGATGGGTTTTCTAAAGAGGGACTCATGGCAGAAGCGTTTGATTTATTTCATCAGATGATTGATCATGGAATATCTCCCAATGTCGTCACCTACAACTCTATGATACATGGTTTTTGCGTTATGTATCAATTGTCGGAAGCTGCAAAATTATTTAATGATATGAGACTTGAAGGCATTAATGCTAACGTTTGTACTTTTAATATTTTTATTGACGCATTTTGTAAGGGAGGAAGTGTCACCAAAGCTGAAGCTGTTGTTGCCATGATGATAAAGTTTGGTATAAAACCTGATAGAATAACTTACAACACTTTATTGGATGGGTGCTTTTTGGTTAATAATGTTGGTAAGTCAAGAGAATTATTCAATAAGATGGTCAAGGTTGGTTTGGCTCCTAATATTGTTAGTTATAATATTTTGATCAATGGATTCTGTAAAATCAAGATGGTGGATGAGGCTATGGATCTCTTATTAGAATTGAAGCGCAAAAATCTGATTCCTGATGTTGTAACCTATAGCTCTCTAGTTGATGGTTTGTGCAAATCTGGTAAAATGTCCTGTGTGCAGGATATTATTTGTGAGATGCATGATAATGGTCATGCTCCAAATATAATATTTTACAATGTCTTTTTAGATGGATTGTGCAAAAGTCACCATCTTAATCAAGCTCTTACATTGTTTCAGCAAATTGTTGGCCAAGGAATTCGGCCTAATACATGCACATATACCATAGTCATTGATGGCTTGTGCAAAGGTGGTAGATTAAATGATGCGCAACAGATTTTTCAGGATCTTTTGGTCAATGGCCATCCTTTGGATGTCCAAGCATATACTGCAATGATCAGTGGACTCTGTAAAGAGGGCTTGTTTGATGAGGTAAAGGCCTTGCTTTATAAAATGAAAGAAAATGGATGCACACTTGATTTTGTAACTTTTGATGCAATTATTAGACCTCTTTTGGAAAAAGGTGAGAATGCCAAGGCAAAGGATCTACTGGATGAAATGATCACTGGAGGTTAAGGTTCGACACTTTGCCCCACATTTTCTTGGTTGATACTCACTTTTGTGATGGAATTTTTTGTGTTGTTTAACGATTTTTCTTTTTTTAAGGTAAACTTTGTGCACTATAGAATAGCTGACTGCAATAGCCTGTGTTCTGTTTACATGGTATGTTTGATGTATTTTCATTTTTTGTTGTCTTATTTAACCATTTTTTGTTCCTTCTTTCCTTTTAGTTAATTTGATTTGATTTATTGACTCTTAAGCATATCAATATTGTGTGAGGAAAGATTCTATTATGTTACTCATGGGTTGGTTTTGGCTGTACGTTGTTATTTGAGCTTTGAAGTTGTGCAACACTGTGAGCTTGATCCTGAATTTTGCCGATTCATGATTTCGCTCCTGTTGAATTAAGATGTTGAACCTTTCTATTGATGGAGTGTGTCTTTTGCAAATTTGACATTGTTGAATAAGAGATAAATGAAGTACCCTAGCTTGTTTGTTTTTTGGCCTTGTTTTGTTTTGTTTCTTTCCCTTGTATTGGAAAATAAAAGGGAGGACATAAATGAACGTGTGTATGATTGGCGAGAGCTATAGCACACGTCATATTTCTAAAAGATATGGGCTGTGAGTTACTCCTTTCTCCGTGTAGTCCATGGAATTATGAAATATTACCATGCTTCTTGAATACTTAACAAGAGTCGGAGGAAGTTTAAACTACTCTGTTAGAGTTTCCTATGGACATTATGAAGATTTCTTATTCAATAGTCTCGTACAGTTTGGCGGCTCAGTAAAAGGTGGATTGAGCTTTGTGAATTACTGTTATTGATCAAAGTTGGTTGTCTCTTGGGAGAACGCAGGTATCTGGAAGTTTTAGTTATGGTCCCTTTTCACTAGCCATTGGGGAACGTTTGCGTTTAATAAAGCACAAAATGTTACAAGTAATGCACAGTTTTGAGTTAATCCTTCCCATCCTAAATATAGAAGTTAGATAAATAATTTACAGATATTGAGATTTTTTTTTTTTTTTGGGTGTAAAAAGTGTTTGTTAGTTTCCCTAAAGTATTCCCTTTAATAATCTACATTGTGAACCACGCCTGTTGATGGGAAACCTCTTTAACAAGAGTAGCATATCAGTGTGATATTAATTTTTTGTTCTCTTTTTATTTTGGTATTTCCACCCAACATTTCGGAATCCTTGATAAGTAAATCCAATCCAAATTGGTGGGAAACCTCTTTAACAAGAGTAGCATATCAGTGTGATATTAATTTTTTGTTCTCTTTTTATCTTGGTATTTCCACCCAACATTTTGGAATCTTTGATAAGTAAATCCAATCCAAATTGGTGGGAAACCTCTTTAACAAGGGTAGCATATCGGTGTGATATTAATTTTTTGTTCTCTTTTTATCTTGATATTTCTACCCAACATTTTGGAATCTTTGATAGGTAAATCCAAATTGGGATTGAAAGCAACTGCAATGATTTCCCTCTCCTCCCCTTTTGTTCACCCATCATACGATATCCTAGTGTTCTTGAATGCTAACATTGTTTTCACATTATTTTTCTTTTATATCAGCATCAACCATGATTGTTGCCAACATTACTGGGTTTACAAAAGAAGAAGAAGGAATTATAGCATTATGTGCCATAAATGAAGGCGATGTTAGAACGAGTCTTGCAAAACCTTTATCAGGGCTTGTTTGTGTTGCGAGGAGGCATGGCCATTGCGGTTCAGTTATGTGCCCGGTAGTTGTTTGAGAAGCGGACAAGTCATTGAAAGCAAAGTAGCATATGGGAGAACCATTGATGCTTCATTGGATGCTTTTGGTGGCTATGCCTGTGTTACAGTGAAGAAGAGATTGAGAATGGAAATATTGGAGAGGAGGGCATATGAAGAGTAAACTCTTCAGCTTTCATTAGATTGGCAAAGAGTCATACCACATCTATCACTAAAATGACGCCTATTTATTGCTGAGCATGAGTATATTCCTTCCCCTTGCTGCAATCTTCCATTTTGTTGGTGAATAGTCAACTTTGTAAAAGCATATTCTGGAGTTTAGTTTTTAAGTTTGTGTCACGAGAAATGCATCGCCAGTAAACAAAGGAATAGAAATTAGAAGTAATGTACAGTTTTGAGTTTCTTCTTTTCCCTCCTGAACAAACAATCGCTGATACCCTGATTTGGAAAGAAAATAGTGAACTCAACTGTATCTGAGCTGGACTACTGCAAGAAAACTCAGTAGTCCGTGCATGTTTATGTTTGTTTCTACTCAGTGATGCTACGGAGGGTATCAAGCATAGCTTCTTCATCGGGTTCTACAGTCAACTTCTAAGGTAGTTTGTTGTCTGTGGCATCTTTCTCATCAAATGTTGTAATTCTGGATTTCAGCTGGATCATGATGTTTCTAGGCTTTCGGATACTCGATGGCATGTGATTTTAATCTGAATTGAATGTGTTTCTGCAAAGTTCAATTCTTTCTCTTGGCTGAGATTGTGATGGTTTACTTGGCTTTGGCATGCGTCTGTGCTGCTATGTGATTTTAATCTGAATATTGTAAAGCATTAGGCCTTGTTAGCTTGTCCAAAGCCAGAGGAGTCGGAAAGAATAGAGAAGCCAGTTTGCAGCAATTTGTATGAATTGTCTCTTACACTTGTTACTCTTTAAGGTTGTAAGTTGCGACATTTTTAGGAAGCTTACCAATTACCATGAGATCTCTTTTATGGATTCTCGTTAAAAGAGGCAGCTAAGCACCATATCTAAAACTTGTCAAACATGTTGCTTGAATCTTCATTGCTTAAATAGGAAGATAGCTATAACAGCTATGTAATTCATTCCTCTGGCTATTAACTCATCTTGTAAAGTTCTGTCACATCCTGATGCATCATAAACTGTACTGGTTGTTGTATAGTATTCTGCTAAACACGTCCCTACTTTGATTTTCCCTGGCCTATGCTTTTGAAGTTTGTTGCACTTAGTAGTATAGAACTCAAGAGGTGAAGGGAACTGGGTTGTTTGCTGCAGCTGAACAGCAAATTTGGATTGTTTAGATTCGATTCTAGAAGAAATAGATTATCCTTATTACAAATCATCAAGTGAGGTACTGATTATATTTTTTAAGATTATTTGTATTTAAAATCTCATTAATTGCAATTTTTAGGACTTATTTGGATGTAATTATAGTACTAAATGCATTTGAAAGTTTATATTATTTTCAGACGAAGTTAATGATTTAACCACCTGCCATTGATTTTGATGAGTTGGTTGCATGTGCTTTATAATGAAGATTAGAGGGAGCATACCAGCTCTAATAAAATTTCAAACAGAAGGAGAGGATTCATGCTTGTTACTTTAGACATTTAAACGAGATTACAATTGTCACACTGGTCCTTATTACAACTTCATTTCAACTAAAGTTTATTACAATTGTCAGCTAATTTGAAGGCATCAACCCTTATGCTCGTACTTTCACTGTAATGGTTGATGCATTTTGTAAGGAGGGAAATGTCACTAAAGCTGAAGCTGTTGTTGCTTAATAAGAGAGTGTAAAGCCTAATGAAATTACTTATAACACTTTAATGGATGGTTACTGTTTGTTCAAAAGTAAATATTGGTGAGTTGAGAAAATTATTCAATAAAATGGTCAAGAGTAATTTGGCTTGTAATGTTTTTAGTTATAACATTTTAATTAATGGATTATGTAAAATCAAGATGGTTAATGAGGTCATGGATTTTTTTAAAAGAAATGAAGGGTGAAAATTTGATTCCTAATATTATCATCTATAGCTCTTTTGTTGACGGTTTGTACAAATCTGGTAAAATGTTATTTGTGCAGATATCTTATAGCTTAATTAGTTATGCTGTCAATTGAACTTTTAATATAATAAATAATTAAAAATAATATTAAATATATAATGATATATAGGTTAAAAAAAAAAATCTCAAAGTATTAAAAACACCCCAATATATCAAATTAATTACGGCTTCCAGCTTAAATTCCCGCCCTCCAGAATGGCTCAACCAGACAAATAGTCTGATCGTGTAAAATGAGCTGTTAAAGACGCAGGCTGACGGTCGGATCGTTAGCATGGCCCATCCTTCCAATCACTGGTTGAGGGAGAATTAAAGAGAGGGACTTACTGTGGATAATATTTACCGGAAAAGATAGAAGGACCTTGAAGAGTAAATATTAGTCCTTTGTATAAGACTTATTTTATATATTTTATAATTTTTTAAAATTAATTCTATTGATATTCTCTTAACAATAATTTAGTAGGAGAGGGAGGGAGGAAATTAAAGAAGATGCTTAGAATATTTTTCAAAAACTATATCATATTAACTAATCAGTTAAAGTATACATTTGGTCTTTTAACTTTATATGATGTTTTAATTTGATCCTTTAATTTTAAAAAGCATACAGTTGGTCCTTTAGTCTTAAGATGGTTAAGGCTTAAATGGTATTTTTTTGTAACAATCATGATTATTTTAAAAATTAAAATTCATATGCTAGCATTTGAGAATATTTTATCAACATTTAAGATATCAGGATCGTATTTTTTGTTGACAATTTTAGGATTAAAAAAATCAAAAGTATACTTTTTAAAGTTAAGGGATTAAATTGAAACTCTTTATTAAATTAAAGGACTGAATGGATAGTTTAGCTTACTCAAATTAGTTAATTAGGTCTTATATTAAAGACATGACAAGTATTTTATATTTTTTTTAAAATAAAACCTTGAGTTCTCTTTTTCCCTTTTTACCCCGTCAAAAATAAAAGTGCCGGGAAAATAGATATAATTTGCCTTTAATAAGAGAAGTATTTTTATTAAAAAATAAAAGTGAGACATAAATGAAAATAATTCTCTTGTATGATTAAAGGCAAAAACATAAAAATTAGAATCATTTTCAGATTGATATATAAATATTTCCCATTATGAATTATATACACACAAACACATATTGCTTGGTCACCAAGGAATTTGACCTAATCCTTACACATTTACCATACTCATTGGTGGCTTGATTAAAGGTAGTACATTAAATGACGCACGGCAGATTTTTTAGCGTCTTTTGGTCAATGACTATCCTTTGAATTTGCACGCACATAATGCAATGACCAATGGATTCTATAAAGGGGGCTTGTTTGATGAGGCAAAAGCCTTGTTTTATAAAATGCAAGAGAATGTGCGCTCACCTGATTTTGTGACTTTCGGAGTAATTATTAGACGTCATTTGGAAAAAAAGTGAGAATGATAGGGCAAAGCATCTACTGGATGAAATGTTCACTAGAGGTATCCTAAAACAATAATAGAAGGTTAGATACTTTGCTACTTATTGATATTTACGTTCACGATGAAAGTTGTTGTGACAGTTAACAAATTCTGGTTTCTTTAAAGTAAACATTGTTGTACTATATGATGACTAACTGTAATTTAAGATATTCTTTTCAAATCACATGTTTGAAACTTTTTAATGTTACTCCTCCGGTCCTAATTATAAGACCCAATTGACTTATTTGAGGAGATTAAGAAAGTAAGTTAAGTTGGTTATTTATAATAAATAAGTGTTGTCATTCCTAAAATATCCTTATTAATTAAGTATATTGGCTAAAACTATCATTATTAGAAGGATTATCTTGGAAAAAAATGCATAAATATAAGAGACAAAATGGATTGGGGTCTTATAATTAGGACCAAATAAAAAATCAAATGGGGTCTTATAATAAGAACCAGAGGAGTACTAGTTTTCAAGTTTTTTGGGGCTTAACATGACTTTATGCCTTCTTCCTTTATGCTCAATTACTTATTTGGTTTATCAACTGCTAGACACATCTTAGTTGTTGTAGCTCATGCATTGTCTTTTTTGCTTTTTTTAAATGTCAACGGTAGCTATCAGGATGATTATTGGATATCATCATATGAAATGATTTTCTTTTTGTATGGTTCGCAATGATATTTTGCAAGATTAGATGAAAAGGAATGCCCAAACTTCTCAGGGACATGAGAGTATGAGCATTGTTGAATTACTTAAAGAACTCGACGATAGACCTTTCATGTATCCGTTAGTTTGTGTTCCTATCATAAATAGTAACACAAGACTTTAGTCTGATTTCACATTTAATCAAGCTGTGATGAGACAAATGATAAGAGGAGTGAAAGAAGGATATTTCTAGAAGTGAGTCAAAAGTTTCCTTAACTTTTATAAGGGAAAGTTATTGCCCAAAAGTATTTGAAATTTGTTTAAGGACCTAGGTAGAACCTATCTTGAATAAATGCAAATCTTCTTTAACTGTGCACAACCTATTTTTTATGTACAAAATGGAATACATTTGCATATAGTTAAAGGTATGTTGTGCCTACTCGTCCTTAGATACCTTTGGGTGATAAATTTTGCAATGGTTTTTTTTTAAAAGTAATTTTTCCTTTTTATAAAGAGACTTGAAATAAAGGCCATGAGAAAAATGAGACTTATAAATAGGACTAGTGGGCGCACTGCTATTAAAATGTATCATTTTAATGGAATGCAGGTGTATGAAGTTTGAATTGTGGTTTCTTCTCACTGGCCATTAGGGATATTAAGTCTAGTGGAAAGACATTAGCAGAAAATAAGACAACAAATGTCATAAGTAATGCACAGTTTTGAGTATTATGTATGTTCCAGAAAAAAAAAAAATCCAGAACTTAAAGATAATTAAATGTAGGCTGCTGTATCTAAGGGGTAGAGGTCTGCTTGAAACCTGTGTTTTAAGATTGATTGATGTTTACAGGATTTAATGTTCTCATTACTCTCAATTTCTCCTTTATATTTATTGCATTTGCATCAAAGTAACTCTGTGTTTGATGTTGTGAAGAAATTTGAATTGATGGATGATGTCTTTGTCAATTTGTCACGAATGGCCTTTATCTTGGTATAGACTTGGACTATGTACGCGGCAGCTTGTGGGGAAATGAGCCGAAGGTTTCAACTGGACTTATGAGACATCTTTAGGTATAAAAATGGCCATTAGGGTCTATGTTGGGGTGTGGAGTTTGTTGTGTCTTCTTCAAGACGCATTTTATGTCTTTAGCTGATTTGTGTAGCATTTTGTATTGTATCAGTGCTCTCATTTGCAGGTCATTGTGATGAAGGTGGTTCCATTAAGCCTCGTGCTCCACCGGGTCACCATCGTCCGACAATGTCTCCATATAGGGAGGAGCACCGACCTGTGACGTCGGAAATCAAGATGCATTTTATGTCTTCTTCTACAGTGCAACCATATGTTTGTTCAATTGTTCCATGGAACTTCATGTCTCGTTTGCTGGATTTCCAACTTTGGTTCTATTCTTTGTTGATGCGTTTGACCCAGGAGTTGTTTGGTGTTCATGTTGTGTTAATGAGCTATGCAAATCTATGGAAACCTACAAGTTTCAAAGGTTCCTTGTGGTCATTCTCACTCATTAAGGACTATTATTAATTCTTAAGCTGTGATTGGAACATTGTAGTTGTTGCTGGGGTGATTTTGATTTCAAGTTCAACTCAGATGCACTGTAAAAAAACAGCTTATTACTAATTAAAAAAAATTAAAAACAGAAAAATTTCGTCACTAATCCGTCGCTCATTAGCAACGGAATTAAAATTCTGTTGTTAATCT